TGAAGATCCCCTACCTTTCTTTAATGTTATTTATATTTCAAATTAAATAACTTGATTCAAGGAAACCAGAGGGATAAATGGCTGCTTTGTTTTCATTGCTACATCCTCTCCCCATTCTAAGCCACCCCATGCCTACTCTCCAGCCCCACACCAGAATCACTGCCTAGACTTGATCACTGTTTTGCCAGGATATTGAATCTGGATATTGAAGCGTCATTTTCTCATGATGTTTATTGAGGAATAATCAAACAGAAAACGGGAACAAATGAGTCTTAACAGACAGGAGTCTTTCAAGTGGAGGTCTTTCAAGTCTTTCAAATGGAGGAGGAAACAGGGCAGGGCATTAACTGTCTGTGTGCCCTTGGGCAAGACTGCAACTCCTCAACTTGGTTTCTTGTTCCTCTTCTTCGGAGTGAGCTAAATCAATTGAATCAGTGCCAGACACTTTGTTGCCAGCAGAAGAAATGAGTATCACCTATTCCGTATCCCATTTCAGGATGAGAATTTATGAAATTGCCCATGCCCGTTTATGAAATTGCTACTCCTCAAGTATCCCAGATGGTAATTTTAGTGGCCTCCTGTTTTCAGTGACAGCTTTCTATTAAATAAAGTAGGCAGATATGTTAGAAGGATATATATTTTTCCATAGGACTCAATATGGCTATTTATATTTTTAATGCTAAATATGAGTTCTATAAACATTTTTATTTTTCCTGAATTTGCTGTGGTGCAGAATGTTTCCCTAGCCTCTTTCTAGTTCATTGTTTTACCTAAAATCATTCCTGGTATGAAATTGTTATCCTGTAAATAAGTATTGGCTAATGTACAAATGAATCTTTGTTTCTTTCTAGTTCTAAATGTTATGATTATCAAGAAATGCAAAATTTCAAGGTTGATATGGAGTAGGTTCTTTTGCAAGCTGGTTTTTTTCCAGTCCAGACATTTTTTGTGTGTTCTTTCTCTTGAGGTAACGAAGTGCTAATAGAGTAGTGGAATTGCACCACGTTTCCCTTTTGTTGTATTCACCACTCAGAAGCTTTGGGTGATGAGTACTCCTTCACAATATAACAGCCAACTCTGAGAAATTATACTATTTTTTTTTTTTTTGATATGGAGTATCACAGTGTTGCCCAGGCCGTAGCGCAGTGGTGCGATCTCAACTCACTGCAATCTCCGGCCTCTGGGTTCAAGCAATTCTCCTGCCTCAGCCTTCCGAGTAGCTGGGACTACAGGCGTGCACCACCATGCCCAGCTAATTTTTTTTGTATTCTTATTAGAGACGGGGTTTCATCAGTTGGCCAGGATGGTCTTGATCTCCTGACCTCATGATCCACCCACCTCAGCCTCCCAAAGTGTTGGGATTACAGGCATGAGCCACCATGCCTGGCCTATACTATTTTTAAAAAGTATTTTGAAGTACAACTATCTCAGCAGAAACCTGCATTTTTTTCCTCTGGTTTTAGATTGTTAATGCATCTGAGTAGTATGCATTTAATGTTCTCCCAGTTAGAAAGCTATATGTATAGCACATGTAGTTTGAATGATTTTAACTGTCTAGTTTAAACTAACTTGAATTGCAAAACAGCTTAGACAATAGATCCCAGCCCTGTCCTCCTGACCAGCTACTCAGCTTAGGCAAATATTTGATCACTGCCAGGCTGAACAATGAAAGCCAAGTTGAAATGAGTAAGAGTGGGATAAAGATTCCAGGAGTTAGGCAATTTGGGGCTCAGTCTCCTGCCATTGAACCCCAGTTCCCCTTCTCTCCCACACAAATGCTTCTTTCCTCCCCTTCCTTTTCACCTGGCTATGGAGGACCAGTTCACCAGCTTCTCCTGTAGTCACATCCACTTGTTGCTCCTAGGAAGAGATTCTGGTCCACCCATTAATGAGTACAAGCTCACACCTGTTCTCTTTCTTATTGGTCTCTAAACAAGCACACTCCTCTATTGGTGTTTTCTGATCACTTTATCTGCTAGTGAAGAAGGAGAAACAGATTCAGGCCTTGGTGTGCTATGGAGAGGACAGACTGTTCTAGGCAACAGCAGATGGAGCGGGTGGAAGAGACAGGAAGTCTCTGCTAAGGGGTGTCCTTGGTGTGGTTATATCTGCCCATACTTGGGTGGTCATCATGTTCATGCATCTGCAACTCATGACCAGAAGTCACCAGTCAAAGCCTGGGCTGGTTTGTGAAAAGCATGGCAATGTTTTTAAAGCCATAGTATGGTGTTTAAGCTGCTGTCTGTTCTACACACATTGGTATGTGAGCATGTGTGTATGTTATTAACTTACTTTGCTATTAGGCCTTTTCCCTCTTATTAAAAAAGAAACCTATGAATCTGACATATATCATTTATACCAAATTAGAAAGTGTAACAAAATTAATTAGCATGTAGAATGAAAGAATAGAAGATTACAATGTTGAGAAAATACTATATATATTTTCATTAATCAGTGGATAAACATCTCCATATATATTTTTGTAATTGTTCTTCTAGTGTCGTCTTTGAGACACAATATGTAAAGATTATAAAATTCCCTTACTGACTCAGTATGTTGCCTTTATGAAAGGTAAATGTGTCTTTTAAAAACTAAAGATACCCTTCATTTTGAAGAATAGAAAATTTAGACATTTGTTTCATGTCTTTTGCATGGCTGATTACAAAACTAATTTCATGCTAACTCACTCACTTGATATAATACAATCTATGCTTTAGGGATTTGGAATGGCTATAATATAATGTATCTTACAGATACAATTACCACAGTTTTTATGTATTTTGCACTTTATTATTCTGAGGATATAGTTGTAAAGAAATACTCTACTTTGTGGCTTTTATGTTTTGTCTTGGCACTCAGATCACAAAAACCTCTATGGTTCATTTTGAAACTTTGAGGAAAATGATACCCATTTGAGTTAAAGTTTAATTACCATCTGCAAATTGCTTTTGGAAATATAGTCAGAAAGTAAAAGTGGTTTTAAATTTCAGAGATAGACTATAGCATAATAGCTTTTTAAAATACAGAGATTTTCCATCCAGAGCAGGAAAATTAGAATTGCCTTTGTATAATATTTAACAATGTTCTTTTCTTTGTCATGAAAGTGATATAATTCCAACTCCCATCCCTATTTCTTATTTATGAATACAGTGACTTACTGAAAATTTGTCATAGATTTTATACACATCCTGAAAGGTAGTATCATCTTTTAGGTTCAAAATTGCGAAAGATCTTTTGAGGTAATTTGAGCTTTTTTTTTTTCCCCCCAAATAATAAATGTATCTATACAAGGAAGGACTTAAATATACACACAGATGTAGAAGTCAGCCCCTTAAGATGAGAACATATTACCTTAAGCAGGAGAGTTGAACAGTGCCTTATTGGTGATGCTAACTTCTTTAGAAATAAATGCTGCATGAAGTTTTAAACTTAGTCCTTTTAATAATCTATTAACATTAAGGTACTAGGTGACATTGTTCTAAGCATTGGTCAAGTGTATAGTAATAGGTTTTAATAAATCCAACTCTGCAATTTTAGGAGCTCCTCCAGCTATAATCTAGGCCTACATCTCAGACTTACTGCAGCTGAAACAGTAAAACCACGTCTATCTGATATATAATGATGACTGATCTAGTATGAGACTTTGAAGGGAGGAATTTCTGCTGGAATTCCCATTTAACAGATACTTAATTGGTTTGTACTTAGTTGTTTCTCATCATTTGTTACAAATAGTTTCCAGAAATAGTCCCAGTGTCTTAGTCCAAGTAGTCAGAAAATGGTTTTTAAACTTTAGTGTACATCCCCCCATCACATGGGGTGCTACCTTGAATGCAAATTTCCTGGGGCCCCAGGGAACTCGTTCCATGGGCCTGGGAATCTTTATTATAACCAGGTAACCCAGGTGATTCTGAGGCAGATGGTCTGGTGACAAGCAGCATTGGTATAGGAGGTATACATAGAAATAGGGCCTGTTTCATGATGTATGATCTGTATAGTTGCACAGGCTTCACACTGACTCAAAAGAGCCCTGGGCTTCACTTAACTCTTCTGTTACCTTCTTGAAATTCTTAGTAGTTTTTAATCAAGGAGTCCTGCATTTTCACTTTTCCCTGGGCCCTGAAAATTCTTTCTTTCTTTCCTTTTATTTTTTAGAGACAAGATCTCATTCTGTTGCCCAGGTTGGTGTGCTTTGGCAAGATCATAGCTCATTGCAGCCTCAGTCTCCTGGGCTCAAGCAGTTTTTCCATCTCAGCCCTCTGAATAGCTAGGACTACAGGCATGAACCACCATATCTGGCTAATTATTATTATTATTTTTTGAGACAGAGTCTTGCTCTGTTACCCAGGCTGGAGTGCAGTGGTGTGATCTCAGCTCACTGCAACCTTTGCCTCCCAAATTTAAGCGATTCTTCTGCCTCAGCCTCTCAAATAGCTGGGATTATAGGCGCCCGCCACCACTCCCGGCTAATTTTTGCATTTTCAGTAGAGACGGGGTTTCACCATGTTGGCCAGGCTGGTCTCAAACTCCTAACCTCAGGCGATCTGCCCACCTCGTCCTCCCAAAGTGCTGGGATTCCAGGCGTGAGCCACTTCGCCAGGCCAAAAAAATTTTTTTGTAGAGATGGGATCTCACTGTATCGCCCAGGTTGGTCTCAAATGCCTTGCCTCAAGCAATCCTCCAGTCTTGGCTTCCCAAAGGGCTGAGTTCATAGGTGTGAACCCCTGTGCCTGGCCTGAAATTGTTCTTCTTGATAAATATGAATTGCACTTATTCAATAATAATTTCATACCTGTTGGATTAAGCTGTCAACTTTAAGGCCACTTCTGAGCTTTAGAGATTAATGAGTATCATTCATCACAGGACCTGGAATAGGAAATCTTAATAGTATGATTTTTTTCCAAGGAAATTGTATTTCTGTTTATAATTTTCAAGCAATTAAAGCAGAGAACATAGAAACCTGTATTTATGTTATTCTAATACAGTGTCTTTTTTTCTCCCAGGATGGTACAAAACAGAAACGGGAACGAAAAAAGACAGTCTCATTCAGCAGCATGCCGACAGAGAAGAAGATCAGCAGTGCAAGTGATTGTATTAATTCAATGGTTGAGGGTTCAGAACTCAAAAAGGTTCGCTCCAACTCTAGAATTTATCATAGGTACTTTTTACTGGATGCCGACATGCAGAGCCTCAGGTGGGAGCCGTCAAAGAAGGATTCTGAGAAAGCTAAGATCGACATTAAATCCATCAAGGAAGTCAGAACAGGAAAAAACACAGACATATTCCGCAGCAATGGCATTTCTGACCAGATATCTGAAGATTGTGCATTTTCTATCATATATGGAGAGAATTATGAGTCACTGGATTTGGTTGCCAACTCCGCAGATGTTGCAAACATCTGGGTTACGGGACTGCGGTACCTAATTTCTTATGGAAAACATACACTTGATATGCTAGAAAGTAGCCAAGATAACATGAGGACTTCTTGGGTTTCACAAATGTTTAGTGAAATCGATGTAGATAACCTTGGACATATAACTCTGTGTAATGCTGTGCAATGTATCAGAAACCTCAATCCTGGTTTAAAAACGAGCAAAATTGAGCTTAAGTTCAAAGAATTGCATAAATCAAAGGACAAAGCTGGTACTGAGGTCACAAAGGAAGAATTTATTGAGGTTTTTCATGAGCTTTGTACTAGACCTGAAATTTATTTCCTTTTAGTTCAGTTTTCAAGCAATAAAGAATTCCTTGATACCAAGGACCTTATGATGTTTCTTGAGGCAGAACAGGGTGTGGCACACATAAATGAGGAAATAAGCCTTGAAATTATTCACAAATATGAGCCATCCAAAGAGGGTCAGGAAAAGGGCTGGCTCTCCATAGACGGGTTTACTAATTACCTTATGTCACCTGACTGTTATATATTTGATCCAGAACATAAGAAGGTCTGTCAGGATATGAAGCAACCTCTGTCTCATTACTTTATAAACTCCTCTCATAATACATACTTAATAGAGGATCAGTTCCGAGGTCCCTCAGATATTACAGGATATATTCGAGCTCTTAAAATGGGTTGTCGGAGTGTTGAATTAGATGTATGGGACGGGCCAGACAATGAACCTGTAATTTACACGGGCCACACCATGACTTCTCAGATAGTCTTCCGCAGTGTCATTGATATTATTAATAAGTATGCATTCTTTGCTTCAGAGTATCCTCTTATATTGTGTTTAGAAAACCACTGTTCCATTAAACAGCAGAAGGTAATGGTTCAGCACATGAAGAAACTCTTAGGAGACAAGCTCTATACAACGTTACCCAATGTTGAGGAATCTTATCTACCATCCCCAGATGTCCTGAAAGGGAAAATACTAATTAAAGCAAAGAAGCTGTCCTCAAACTGCTCTGGGGTAGAAGGAGATGTTACTGATGAAGATGAAGGAGCAGAAATGTCTCAGAGGATGGGAAAAGAGAACATGGAGCAACCCAACAATGTGCCTGTGAAGCGATTTCAGCTTTGTAAAGAACTCTCTGAACTGGTCAGCATCTGCAAATCAGTTCAGTTCAAAGAATTTCAGGTGTCCTTTCAGGTTCAGAAGTACTGGGAAGTCTGTTCCTTTAATGAAGTGCTTGCCAGCAAGTATGCCAATGAAAATCCAGGAGACTTTGTAAATTACAACAAACGTTTTCTAGCTAGGGTTTTTCCCAGTCCAATGAGAATTGACTCCAGTAACATGAACCCTCAAGATTTTTGGAAATGTGGTTGCCAAATTGTAGCCATGAACTTTCAGACACCAGGACTGATGATGGACCTGAATATCGGCTGGTTTAGGCAGAACGGAAACTGTGGCTATGTCCTCCGGCCGGCCATCATGAGGGAGGAGGTCTCCTTCTTCAGCGCCAATACAAAAGACTCTGTCCCAGGGGTCTCACCTCAGCTTCTTCACATTAAAATCATCAGTGGGCAGAACTTCCCCAAGCCCAAAGGATCAGGTGCCAAAGGCGATGTGGTAGATCCTTATGTCTATGTTGAAATCCATGGAATCCCTGCTGATTGTGCAGAACAAAGGACAAAAACAGTGCACCAGAATGGAGATGCTCCCATTTTTGATGAAAGCTTTGAATTTCAAATTAACCTGCCTGAACTGGCCATGGTGCGCTTTGTAGTGCTGGACGATGACTACATCGGGGATGAATTCATAGGCCAGTACACAATTCCCTTTGAATGTTTACAGACGGGCTACCGCCACGTCCCCCTGCAGTCCTTGACCGGAGAGGTCCTTGCACATGCTTCTTTATTTGTCCATGTGGCTATTACTAACAGAAGAGGAGGAGGGAAGCCTCATAAAAGGGGCCTTTCTGTGAGAAAAGGGAAGAAATCCAGGGAATATGCATCTTTGAGAACATTGTGGATTAAAACTGTAGATGAGGTGTTCAAGAATGCCCAGCCCCCTATACGGGATGCCACAGATCTCAGAGAAAACATGCAGGTGTGTGCTTGTGTTTAATTATTTACTCAATGGCTTTCCTACTTAGTACATGTCCATAGTTTATAAATATGTTGGTCTTTTTAATAATAGTATATTAATTTTAAGTATTTTTAAAATTCCAATTAGTTATTAGAAAGTTTACCACTAGTCTCTTTTTTTATCATTTAAATTCTTAAAGGTACAGTTGGCGTTGAAAATATTGATTACATATTAGGGTAAGTGAGTCTTGTTGTTATACACCTTCATCCCAGTCCCTGTTAATGATTGCTGAACAGTTCCTTGTTTTTCCTAACAGTATACGTGGGAATCTCTGGGATTTCTGAATATTATTTAGCTGGAACACAAATTGATGATCTATCAAAATAAAAAGGATATAGATCAAAGTAAAATGGGTGTTATCCAGTCCTTTTTGATGAAGTTGTAATGCTGAGACGGGAAGCCTTTACATAAGCCGTAAATCTATGTGTGTCTGCATAGTGAGCCTCCTCCTGATTTGAGAGGATAGCTAATTCTGTAAGTAAAAGAGGTGTCTGTGTTTATTAGAAGTTTAAGATAATAATTACCTCTGAAATATATAATGACTAAAAGCAATCAGTTAGGAATTACTTATTTAATTAAGGATTGCCCACGCATCTAGCCATACGCTAAGGCCCCTGAGTGACACAGAGCTAGACAGCAAGGGCCTGCCTCATGGAGACAGCAGCCCTAACCCGTCATAGTGTATGAGAAGTGTTATGTGTGTGATAAGTGCTCCATGTGTGTTTATTTTGTATTTTAAAAAATTATATTTAAAAATGACCCATGAGAATGATGCCAGCAAATAAAATCTGACTCAGAAAATTCAGCATATTTTTCCTATCTACTAATTCTGTGTACAATTCATGAATAAAAAGACCTTCACACAATAAGGAAATTTGTTTCCTTTTTCTTAAAGTAAAAACATAACAGACATTTGAAAGGCTTTTTCCTGTTTCTGAGGGTGAAAGTGGTATGGTAAACCCTCAGCTCTGAGCAAGCCACATTGTCTGCTGCCCAGTGGCTGCTGTGGTGGATGTGACACAGAATTCCTTTGAGGATTTGTGAGAGCTCAAGCATTGTCTTTCCCAAAGCCCTCTCTGCATTGAACCTGACAAAGCAGTGGGTAGTGATGCTGAATGAGCACCTGCCCCACGCACAAGCAGTTTAGGCCATGAAGATGCAGTGGTGAACAAAGAGATTGACTGCCTGCCCTCAAAGGGCTTGCATGCTAGTTGGGAGCAGGCAGGGGGAAGGGGAAAGAGACGGGAGGCAGGCAGATAAACAAACAGAACAACTACAGATATGAGTAAGTGGTGTGAGTGGGGAACCACACTTTAAATATCACTGTCATGATTGGTTTCTGTAAATGTGTCTGTCAATATCGAAGTGATTTGAGCCAATGATACATAGTTTGATGTCCATATTTAAAGCAATATTAATAAAAATGAAATGTTTAAATTTAAAACTAAAGTGTTGTTTGTTCCCAAGAACCTGGGTTGAGAGCAGAACGCACAGGCCTGCAGTGCCTAGGTCCACCCACTCTCCCCATATGCCTAGCCCAGACCAGGACTCAAGTGTACCTGAAATAGCCCAGCGGACTCTTATTATGATTAGAATTGACCTGTTATTACTCATGATGACTCAAAGCATTAGCCTTAACATCAATAGCTTTTAGGTAAAATCTTGACTCCTTCACTTACTAGCTGTGTGACCTTAGACAAATAGAGAGGGATTATAGCTAAGCCTCAGTCTCCTCATCCATAACATGGTGTGCTGTGTGGATTAAATGGAAGTAATGTGTAATAAATATGCCTAATATGGCTTAGCACTTATTAAGTGTTCAAAGAAAGTCAGCTCGTGGCATTTTACAGTGTTGAAGGTTTTTCTTTAATGGATATTTAAATGGTATACCTCTGGTGATTAAAAAAAGGGAGAGAGAGAGGCATTGAGATCAGCAGTGACACCAACAGGGCAAGGCCACAGGTGACCAAGGTCCCTGCTGGGCAGACTCACCAGAGGACAGTAGCATCCTCAAAGGTTCTGTAGATTTTGAGCCAGCAGGCATAAATAGATGAGAGATTCAGGTTTCCACCTTGCAAATATTTCTTTCCCTTTTGTATGGCTGGCATATTTGATACTTACTTTAAACCAGATTGATTTTTTTTTTTCTAAATCTTTACCCTCTTTGAATGCAGAAGCTCTTCTCTCTGTTTGCTCATAGTTGCATATCCGCATCAGCACTACTATGAACTTTGAGCTGAAAAGAGGCCTTGCCCTTCGGAAGAATTTGACTTATTTGCATTTTCAGTACTTTTGATAAATGGGTGTTACAAATGTCCATAACAGTATTTACTTTGGATAGTAGCCATTTTTCCCAGGATAAAATAAAAATTAGCCAATTCTGTTATAACACTGCTAATAACTATTATAACAGGTGGTTCAAGCATAATCAGATATATCAAATATAATATCCATGAGAAATTAAAACCCCAGTTAATTACAAATGCTCCTTTCATTCCATTTAACAGAATGCGGTGGTGTCATTCAAGGAGCTGTGTGGCCTCTCCTCTGTGGCCAATCTCATGCAGTGCATGTTAGCTGTGTCTCCCCGCTTTCTGGGGCCCGATAACACACCACTGGTAGTCCTGAATCTCAGTGAGCAGTACCCCACAATGGAGCTGCAGGGAATCGTGCCGGAGGTTCTGAAGAAGATCGTAACAACTTATGACATGGTGAGTTGTTCTTTGTTCTTTGATATGGTCTGGGTGGGAGAGAGATCCTAAGACAACACAGCAGATATACGTTGTAGCTTTTGCTGAAGTGGGCTTTCCTATTTCATGCTTCATTCACCTATGCTGGAGAAATAGTTCCCCTGACCTTGCTGTATTTGAAAGAGCTTAGTGTTTTGTTGTTTTAGAAAGCAGAATTCAGAGACGCTCATCTCAGTTGGATTAAACATTAGTTAGCTTCTCAGCTATATCCGAATTGATTTTTAAAGGACGCACTATTTTCCACACAGGTGTAGGAAAGAGTTTTTAAAAATCTTCTCCTGCAGCTAGTCATTGATTTATTCGTTTTCATTTTATTTTCATTTTTTTCAACTGGTAAAGCCAAGAAATTCAACTTACAAAATGTAATGCTATGAGGGGCAGGTGCTTATATCACATGACTCTGCACTAGGTGGTGGTTTCCCTTCTTACAGCAGCTGCTGTGTGACACCTGTATTTGTAATCAGCTTAACGCTAATGGAGTATCCTCAGGACACCTAGAATATTACATTTTTGTAGTTAAGATTTACTTTTCATTTTCTTAATCACATCCTGCTCTTACTGTAATTTTTTGTCTATCATAACTCTTAAGAGAGAATTTAGTGAGTGCAGGACACCCATTTCAAGTGTGTGGTGTAGTTGAAGCTGTTAGTGACTCTTCAAGCTATCAGGGTTAAGGGTGGTATTGAACACTCCCCTCCCAGATGGGCCAGGCTGTCTTCTAATACTGTTTAGAGTACTTGAGGGTGAGTACCTCATCTGCTACCTCTTCCACTCCAAAAGCACAAGCTAAGACCACTAAACTCTAGGTTTCTTCTGATGTATCTTGCCGTGCTCAAGGACAAAACTGGATCGGCATCATTAATCTAAACAGAAGTATTTTTGACTGTTTTATAAATTGTCTGAAAGCTGTAATTTAGAAGGTTTTATGTAATTCAAGGGAAAGAAAAAACACATTAGGCCAGCACTCCTCAAATTGTGACTACTTCGTAGGTTTCATAGGATGTTAATAAACATCACATGGGGGAAAGGTTCCTTGATGAAGTAATTTTGGGAAATACTAGTTTGAACAAAAGTCATCAGATATCTTTACTTTAGGATTTCTCAGAACCTTTATTTGCTGTCACCATGAGTTCCAAGATGGTGATATAGTATTTCCAGGTTCACAAATTGACTTGAGCATTCGAATACTATTTATAAAAACAAAGATTCTGAAGAATGTATTTTGGAAAATGCTTGTTTAGTCTTTGGTTAAGTCTGGAAGTACAAGTCAGAAGAATGCAATGTTTTTAATAGCTTATGAGTTCATTACCTTAAAAAAAGTGATATTTGCACATTTTCATAGGTTCCTATGAAGTAGTCACACATCGTAGTGGGTGCTGTTTCCTTCTTAAGAGATACCAGGAACTGAATACAGGATACCGCAAGCAAACTACATAGAGTGGCATCCTCCTGCAGAAAAGAGGGAGGCCAGGGTCAGGTGTCTGATGAGCACTGGGTGCTGAGTACCACTATGCTAAATGCCAAAGGGAGCCAAAAAGACTCATATGAACAGCCCCATCCTCGGGAACCATTGAGTCCACCAGGAGAGAAAGCGAGGCTGGGGAACAATATCAACACAGGAAGCTTATGCTGAGATTCCTTTGGTAGGGAAATGGAAAAGGGGGTAAAAACGGAAAAGTTTGAAAATCTTTTACATGCTATGACCCAGCCTGCCTAGATAGTTCTTGACTTCTTAAGTTTTATGAGACAAAGCCAAAAGAAGTAGCTGATATAAATGCTTTTTAAGCATAAGCCACAAATAAAATCTCAGATCTATTTTGTTGACCAAAATTTAATATGAATTACCCCCTAAGACATTTCTTTGATTTCTGTGGCAGTCATATAGTGACATTTCTCCATGGCCAGCTTCTTAACAGGGACCCCCATGTAGGTGATAACAGCATAGCAGGGCAGGCCAAGTTCAGGGGCTGATTGCTGCTGTATCCGGAGTGTGCTCATAGCTGGATTCTCATGGTCTATGTTAAAAATTCTTATGGCCACCAGCAACCTTTACAGCACTCACAACAATATTTGGCTCAGAAATGGCTCGTTGCTCCTTGGCTCCCAGCCCCTTCCTCTTGGACTGGTAGATGCTAGCACTTACTGTGTAGCTCTTATTTGCATCTAACTGTATTGTTATATTGTTGTAGAATTGATAAGACAGAATATGTTATCTTGCTTAAAATTTTTTAATTGTAAAATTACCCTTTTATAATGTATAATTGAAATAGCTGTGCAACCTTATACCCCTTAATTTATCGAAATGTTCTGTTCATTCATCTGATAAAATAACTAATAAAATATTTAAAATTAAATTCAAATTATGGCTGTAGCAATATTATAACTCTTGTAATATTTTACAGTTCTTTTTAGTGACTTAATGGTTTCTTAGCCATGTGGCAATTTATTAAAGCTAGCCAGAATAGATTAAATATTGATGGGAAGTATACTAAAGGTTTCAAACACCCCATAACTCTAAATATAGCTCTCTCTTTTTGTAATGTTATGTTGAGCTTGACCCAAAATTAACCTTAGAAATAAGATCTTATTTCATTCTGTTGACTTCCCATGTGTAATGTATGGAGGTGAATGAGAAGTAATGGCAAATTGAGCTTCTCCAGAACTCCTGTGTCATGGCCAGTCTACATGACTGAAGCGTGTTCTCCTGTGAGGACAGTGCCATGGTACCTCCTAAAATGTACAAATGTGTATTTATGCTATCAAGATTGTGATTACTTTTCAATTTCTAGACTCTATTAATAGTATTTCAGAAGTGTGCCAGTTTCTTTGTAAAAACAGAGTGCAGATTGTTGTCCTGATGGCTCCCATGATCACCACCAACAAACAGGCCTTGAAAACTGCCAGAAGTGTGCTTTTACAGGACCTGTGGTGGTGTTTTTGTGGCTCCTGTGGTGGGGTGTAAGCCTGGGACCTAGCTCAAGAAGGTAGGTATCAGAGCCATTCAGAAGTGGAGAAAAAGAAGTCCATGTACCTCCTTAGACTAGGCAGATTAAGGGAGTTTTAATAGAAACTGGACTGGGATGAAAAGTGGGAATGACCCTTGTCAACACTGCTGGAGTCAGAGACATCAGTGTGAGGTAGAAGGCACCTGCTGAACTTGTGCTTGGAGCCCTGGGGTACACAGATGACCCTTCTTCCTCCCAGTGGTGAGCAAGGGCCCTAGGGTCCTCTCCCCCTAGAATCTGGAGCATGAAAGCTGCACGTAGCAACCCTAGGTAGGGAAATTGTAGCGGGGCTAGAAGGTGGCCTCATGCAAATGGAGGCTTACTGGGGCTTTAAATGAGGCATGTTTGTCCCCATGAGCTCAGTGTCCTTAAGTGCTTCATCCCATGATTTAGGGACTCAACCTGTGAGGGCTCATCTTCCTCCAGTCAGCTTGTCCTCTCTGCCTTTCTTAATGAGGCAGACTCAACTTGTGAGACTCATCTTCTTCCAGTCAGCTTGACCTCTCTGCCTTGAGTCGCTTTTTTCATACCTATTTACTTTTTTTCAACAGATGAGAGCTAGGCTCCATTATTAAGCCATGTGGTTGGGCTTTTGCCCACAACCACATATTTATCGTATGGTATTGGACAGTGTACATTATTATACATCATGACCATAAAGTCAGAGGGTTGAACTTTTCATACTCAAATAATTGATTTACTTTAAAGATGTCATGTTTGGTTGTTTTAAGTGGCATATAGTAGAAATTTAATTAGTTTATTTCAATAAAACAGATATAAAATAAGTTACTGCATTTTTGGTGATGAATTAAACACCTATTTGTAAGCTCTTACCATGTACAAGGCACTGCTCACTCATCAACAGCAAGTATTTATTGAGTGCCTATTGTGTACCAGTGGCTGACTATTCTAGGTAACATGAGGTAATATAAAGAATTTTCGCCCTTGAGGAGCTTATAATTTAGTTGAAGAGATGCAGTATGTGTATAGATAACTAGTAAAATGATAGACAATAGATAGTAGATAGACATTTTAAAATACATAAATGAATTATTTGGATCTTCAACGGAGAGAATGGTTAGTTTCAGGTTCAGTGATTGGGAAGACTTCAGTGAAACATCAGCCTTGAACTAGACCTATAAGAATGAGTTGGAATTCAACTGCTAAAGAGGAGGCTTTTGCAAGATGAGTTCACAGGGTGAAATATGCTAACAGGTGAAACATGCTCAAGCACATATTCTGGGAAAGCCAGGTTTGGACTGTAACAGATAGTAGGGAGTCCTTGTACATTTCTGAGCAAAGGGTTATGCTCAGAATTAGGCATTATGGCCTCAGGGAGGCTTGGAGTGAAACAGAATTCAGAGACCACCTGTTGAGCAGCTTCATTTTGCATATGAGAAAATGGAAACCCTGTGGCACATCAAATTAATAGCAGAACTAGGATTGGCACTCAAGTGATATCTCTGTCCAATTTATTTCTGCAAACCAGATCAGAAAAATTAACTGTGTAGAGTGTGTAGATGAATGATCAATATAGCAATAAAGCCCAAGTAACTTCAATAATAATAATCTACAGTTATTCATGTGGGGCTCTTGAAGTCACAAGCACCTTATTTTTGGTTCTTGTGCCCCATAAAGGTAGAAAATTCTTCATATTGCATTACTAAACATATATGAAAAGGCAGATTTCATGAGCTTAAAATAAAGCTGTAATAAATAGATCAAACTCCACTCAAAGAAATTTGATTATAAATGTTTGAACACATTGTTTATAATTTCAGAAAAGAAAAATTTAAATATTTTACTTAAAGTATATATACATGAACTTGAATACACCCACTATTTACAATCAAGATCAAGATTGAGCTTGTTCGCTCATGTAATCAAGGGCTGGGAAGAGAAAATGAGTATGTAACCTGAGTTTAAGAGATTCTGGTGACTATCTGGATACCCTTC